AATTTGGCCTTCGATGATAGGCTGCTTCGAGCATCCCCTTCCCCAGAACCGTGTGGTAGCCCAATCACACTACGTCAATGATGGGAGCTACTCTGGTCTTGTTTTTGGTGGCATTTACCCGTGTCTGCTCACTGACCAAGCTCCACAATTTATCAAGGTTGACAGTTGGACAGAAGCTCTGGTTCCTCTTTAAGTGGTAATGCCTCATACCAACTTTCCCAAAGTAACCTGGGTGATATTTGTCGAAGTTGACCCTGTGGTGATGCAGTCACCTGCATTGCCCCGGCTTCCAGGATGCTTCCGGTGCTTGCCGATGCGGCCATGACCGTGGCTCACGTGGCCTCGAAGTTTCTGGGTCTTCCTCAGTCTGGATGGCATGTGGGCGACTAACATGAAAGAGAGCTAAAGACCACTTTTAAGTGCTGATTTGATTTCTTTTTCCCTTTCTCCTGAGGCCTACAGCTTTTCTATGGCAAAAAGCAGCCGGGAAAAGAAACAGAGCAAAATCCAAGACCGCAGAGTGAATCAAGGAGGGAAGAAACCAAGGCTGAGGTCATTGGAATGGGGGTGTTTCAGGAAGGACTGCCGTGCACACCAGGCTTGCAGGGTGTTGGCTTCATTCTAGCTCTGAAGGTTCTGACTGTCTCCCATCTCTGTACCAGGCTCCTCTGCTAACCCAGACCCGACTTATCACCCAGAGGGCTCTGCACAGAGCTCCCCATTACAACAGTTGCTGCCGCCGGAAGTTCAGGTCTGTGGGATGGGAAAGTCAGAGGCAGTAAGGGGTAGAAAGAGAGAGATGGCTCTAAAATTAGTGGGGGGTTTTTTTGTGTGTTTTTTTAAAATTATTTTATTTAACTTTATTATTACTATCATTGTTATTTTCAAGTTTGATCAGAGAAACACAGAGAGAGAAAGGAAGTGAGAAAGAAAGCCACTAGGTCCGAGACTTGAACCGTGGTTGGCCATGTGGGAGTCCAGTGTCTTTAACCACCATGCCACTCGCTGGCCTCTAAAATTAGTGTTTTTCAAATTGTATTCTGAGAAATATAATCTAGAGATGTTAACTGAAATTTCAGGGAAAGATAACTTTCTGATTTTAAGTAAAATTTGGGAAATGGTACTTTGCAGTTTACAAGGGGTCCTCAGAAAGTTCATATGGAAATAAGGAATTAAACTACAAGTGTATTTGGTGCAAAACAATTGAAATCTGGACCAGCTCGTCGTGTGGTGGTTAAGGCAGCTAGATCCCACATGGTCAACTTTGTGGTTCGAGTCCTGGACCCAGTAACTTGGAAAGACAGTTTCTCTGTCTTTCTGGCGAGCACACGCGCCCTATAGCAAAAACTCTTGGTGTGTGCCCCAAAATCTCCAGATGTCTCTGGGCTCCAGCTGATGCTCCAGGCGTCTTTCCCTCAATGGGGAGCAGGCCAGTTGTACCAGGCTTCCATAAGAATGGGTCCGGCTCCCATGAAGCAGTCCTGACGTCCCGAGGGGGCCTGTCTAGAGGGAAAAGCCATCCCCTCACCCTGCAGATAGCTGGGGTTGCAACGGGGGGTGGTGGACAGATCAGCTAAGGAGGAGGGATTGTGGAGTGGCCATCCCACCTGGGGAGTAATTTCTCACTTTCCCTCCTTCTCTCTGTCTTTCCCTTGTGAGTGCCCACCCTATAATAAAAACTTTTTAAAAAAATTTAAAAGCAAATAAATAAAAATTGAAATCCATGCATAGTTTTTACACATGCATTTTCCATGAACTTTTGAAAGACCCTTTGTATTTTAAGGGCAATACAAAGTTTTAAGATTGACTTTTTAGGGACCAGCAGGTGACGTGGTGGTTAAGGCGCTGGACACTCCCACATGGCTGACCAGGGTTCAAGTCCTGAATCTGGTGGCTTGCTTTCTCACTTCCTCTCTCTCTCATTCTCACCCTCTGTCTCTCTCTGCTCAAACTAAAAAAAATAAATGAATGAATAAATAAAATAAATAATTATTAAAAAACAAACAAACAAAAAGATTGACTTTTTAGAGACCAGTAGTTGGTGTAATGGCTATGTCACTGGACTCCCACGTAGTCGACCACGGTTGAGTCCTGGGTCCAGTGGCTTAAACTTACGCCCGGCGCGTGTGCACGCGTGCCCAAGATCCCAAGAGAAGAATGGAGAAGAGATTGCTGCGTGGCCATCCTCCCTGGGGGGTGATTTCTCACTTTCTGTCTTTCTGTTTCTCTGTCTTTCTGGCGAGCACATGTGCCCTATAGCAAAAACCTTTGCCAAAAAATAAATAAATAAATAAAGACTTTTGAAAAAGATTTATTTATCTAAGTCCACTGGTTATTATTATTTTTTAATTTGATTAGAGAGAAACAGAGAGAGAGAAAGGGAAAGTGAGAAAGCAAGCAAGCAAGCCCCCAGGTCCAGGACTCAAACCGTGGTCAGCCATGTGGGAACCCAGTGCCCTTAACCACCACGTACCTGTCAGCCCCAAGATTGACTTTTTAAAAAATTCATGATAGAGCATGTACACTCCAGAGTCTGATGCTGTGATATCCCTTCCTCTAGTCCATTGATCAGACTGGGAGTTTGAACCACAGATGCTATATGGACTCTGCTTTATCTGGAATAGCATGTTACTGCTCTGCCTGGCAGCTCTTCTTTCCCCTCAAAAAATTTATAAGTTGGCCTGTCCTACATTCATGATTCTAATGTGTGTGTGTGTATATATATATAAAGTTTATATAAAGTTTACTTCATGAACAAGAGAGACAGGGAGAAAGAGACAGTACCTCCAACAGGGTCTTGACTCTGTGATCCACCCCCTGCCTCAGCCAGCCCTGGATCATGGGTACAAACATAGGTAGGTCTCCATATGTGAACCTGGAACCTGACCATGTGAGTCAGCCTTGCAATGTCATATTTTACTGCTCTGCCACCATCTGGTCCCCTAAAATCCTTTTTACTTTTTTTTTTTTTTCAATTTACTATATAGGGTTTGTGCATTTGCCAGAAGGAGACAAAATGAGATATAGAGAGAAAGCGAAAAAGCACTCCCCAGAGGGATGGCCGCGCCACAATCCCTTCTCCTCCATTCTCCTGGGATTTTGGGCATGCATGCATATGACCCTTACATGATTTTCAGGCTGCCAGGTCCAGGATTCAAACTGTGTTCAGTCATGTGTGAGTCCAGTGCCTTAGTCACTATGCTCCCTGCTGGTCCCGAACATCTTTTTTATACAGAATACTTACGTCTTGAGGAACAGTGTAGGAAACAGTGCTTGAAGGGGTTGGGAGTCATAGAGTTGGCCTTTTCCTTTACTGCTTTTACAGACTGTGATTCTTCTCTACCCAGACCGGAAGCGCCTGGTCCTTCCGTCTCCCGTACCCCTTTGCCATCCCCGGAGACTGAACTCGAAAGTAGGGAACCTGAGCCTGGGGGCGGCCCACAGGCCACGGAGTCGGCAGCTGTCTCAGCCCCTGCCCCTCTGAGCCCCGCAAGAAGGCGAGCGCTGGATCATTACCTCACCCTTCGAAGGTGAATATGCCTAATCATTTTCCCAGGTCTCTTTTCTGTCTGGCCCTCCTTTTTTCACACCTATCCAATTTAACCATTAACTTTTTTGGAGAGGTTTTTGCTATAGGACTCGTGGGCCCGCCAGAAAGAAAGAGACAGAGAGGTAGAAAGTGAGAAATCTCCCCCCCGGGGGGGGATGGCCACACCGCAGTCCCTTCTCCTCCGTTCTCCTCTCAGGATCTTGGGCATGGGATGGCGTGAGTTTAAGCCACCTGGTCCAGGACTCAAACCATGGTCAACCACATAGGAGTCTAGCAACATAGCCATTATGCCATCTGCTGGTCCCACCATTAACTTTAAAAAAGAAAATTATTTTATGTATTTATTCATTATTTTCACACATATGCTTATCAGAGACAGACAGAGAGAGGGAGAGAAAGTGAGAGAAAGTGAAAAAAAAGTGAGTAAGCAACCCACCAGGTCTGGTACTCAAACTGTGGTTGGCCATGTGGGAAGTCCAGTATCTCAGTCACCATGCCACCTGCTGGCTCCACTATTAACTTTTAATAAACCTCTTTCCTGACTAATTTTGTTTTCTCTGATCTTCCCAGCTCTGGATGGATCCCAGATGGACGAGGTCGATGGGTAAAAGATGAAAATGTTGAGTTTGACTCTGACGAGGAGGAACCTCCAGGTCTCCCCCTAGACTGACACCCCCTTTCCCCATTCAGTTCATAAATAAACTACAATGGGCGCTGGGAGCCCAACTTTCTTCAAGTCTGGTTTCTTTCTTTTCTTTTCTGTCGCCAGACAGACAGAGAGAGACATTAGAGACAGAAAGCGAGAAATCACCCCCCAGGGGGGATGGTCACGCCGGAATCCCTTCTCCTCCATTCTCCTCTCGGGATCCTGAGCACGCACGCACATGCGCCCGGCGTGAGTTTTAAGCCACCGGGTCTGGGACGCGAACCGCGGTCGACTACGTGGGAGTCCAGTGACATAGCCATTACGCTAACTGCTGGTTCCCTTTCTTTTCTTTTTTTAAAAGAGTTATTTTATTTAAGTTTATTTATAATTTGACCAGAAAGGAACAGAGTGAGAGAGAGAGAAAGAAAGCAAGCCTCTGGATCTAGGACTCGAACTGTAGTCGGCCATGTGGGAATCAGGTGCCATTAACCCCCACACCACCTGCAAGTCCTTGAGTCTGGTATCTTGTCCAACCTCAGGGTTTCAGATCTGTTCATTCTTTTTATTTATTTATTAGAGAGAGAATTTTGCTATCGGGCATGCGTGCTTGCCAGAGAGACAGGAAGACAGTGAGAAATCACCCCCTAGGAGGGATGGCCACACCACAATCCCTTCTCCATTCTCCTTTCAGGATCTTGGGCACGCACACACACAGGCTTGGCGTAAGTTTTAAGCTGCCGGGTCTGGGACTCGAACCACAGTTGACTATGTGGGATTCCAGAGACGTAACCATTACGCCATCTGCTGGTCCCAGAGGCCTGTACATTCTTAGCCTGCCCACTCCTTCCCTGAATGTACACAGTTCTCCATACTTCTAACCCCTCCCCCCGCCTCCTCCCAAAGTCATGCCAAGCGTCAGCTGCACGCAGCCCGGTGCCCTATTAATAAGTCTGTCAGAAAGAAGTCTTTGCCCTTCATGTTGTCTGCC